AAAATCTTGGAGACAATTAGATACTTTAGTGTAGACACTGAACTAAAAAATCTACATTATACCACTAGGCCGCATTTATCCTGGGTCTTGAACCCTCCTCAGCAGAGGCAGGGAGGGTTGGGGATGTGGGTAGGGTGGTGCTGGGGCCAGACGGTACATTCCCCCATCACCTCCTCACCAGTCATGTCAACCCCATGCACCGACTCTGAGGCCGCTGCTTCGGGGTACAAGGGAGAAAGTGCTGCTCATGATGTGCCGAGAGCGAGCCTGGCGCCCGAGGGTAGGGAGGAGGATGCTTAGGGAAACCCAAGTCCAAAGTTCTCCATAAAACCAAAAGAAAACCAAGCCCGTTGCCGTTGAGTGGATTCTGACTCATAGCGACCCTATAGGACAGATTAGAACTACCCCATAGGGTTTCTAAGGAGCAGCTGGTGGATTTGAACTGCTGACCTTTTGGTTAGCAGCCAGGCTCTTAACCACTACACCACCAGGGCTCCAAAGTTCTCCATGGACCCCCGGAAACCATATAGACATATGGAAATCAGGAATCTAAGACTGCTCCTCCCCCCTTCTAGCCACCAAAAGGCCAAGAACTGCTACAATAGTGAAATCCCACATGTGTGAGGTAGGGGAAACAGAAGCCCAGAGAGGTGCTGTGATGGCCCTGGGCTGCACAGCGTGGTGGGCCCGGCAGGACGGGGTGGGGCAGAGCTGGGTAAGGGGCTCCGTGGAGGCCCAGTGTGCCTAGTGTGGCACACTGACTGATTGTACTGGGAGAACATGATGCCCACGTCCTGGCCGCTGGTTGTCAGCACCTGCAGGCCCGCCATGCAGAGCAGAGCAGTGGTGCTTGTGGTACGTGAATGGTGGGGCCAGCCCTTTCCGAGCTCCAAGGGAGGCAGGTGCGTGGGGGCTCTCCACTCGCTGCTGCGGGCCGTGGCCGGGCACACCATGTCACAGGGGCCTGCTTGCCACCAGCGGCCACCCAAGGACCCGCTGTAGCACCTGTGTGCGAGAAAAGCGTGGCCCGTCGTGGGAGCCTGGGGGCCTGAACATCGAGTCAGTTGTTTCCTGTTAGACTTTACAGGGGTTGGTTCGTAACCTGGGAGTATTTTCTTCATAATTCTTGCTGATGGGATTCATTGAGCTTCTTAGGTCTGTGGCTTTTTTTCTTCAGATTTGGAAAATTTTTGTCCACTATGTCTTCAGAAAAGAGCCCTGGTGGTGCAATGGTTAAACGCTTGGCTGCTAACCGGAAGGTTGGTGGTTCGAACCCACCCAGCTGCTCCTTGGGAGAAAGACCTGGCAATCTGCTTCCATAAAGATTACAGACAAGAAAACTCTATGGGGCAGTTCTGCTCTGTCCCATGGGGTCGCTCTGAGTCGGAATCGGCTCCATGGCACATAACAGCATTTTCAAATATTTTTATGTACCCCTTCCTCCTTTGGGGATTCCAGTTGCATGTATATTATTAGGATGCCTGACGTCTCCATGCAGTTAATTGATGCTCTTTTTTTTTTCTTCTTCAGTACAGTTGATCCCCATTATTCATGGATTCTGTATTTGGAATTCACCTACTTGGTAAAATTTATTCGTAACCTCAAAATCAATATTTGCAGCACTTTATGGTCCTTGTAGACATACACATGCTCCCAGTGGCAAACAACTTGAGTTGCCCGACACGCTTGTTCCCATCTAAGGTCAAACAAGGCTGGTTCAGTGTTTGCTAATTCATTGTTCACAGCTGCTTTATAGAACATAACTACTACTGTGAATAACAAGAATCGACTGTTTTTTCTGTGTTTCATTTAGGATACTTTTTTCTTGCTGTGTCTTGAAGACCATGAATCTTTTCTTCTGCGGTGTCTAATCTGCTGTTAATCACATCCAGTGTACTTTTCATCGCACACATTGTTTTTCTCATCTCTAGAAGTTCACTTTGGGTCTTTTTTTCCCCCAGTGTGTCTCTTGACATGCATGTGCTTTTCTCTTCTTCCTTGAACACATGTAGTATTGTTATAATAACTGTTTCTCCATGTCCTTATCTGCTCATTCCATTGTCTGTGTCAATTCTGGATCTGTTTCTGTTGATGAATTTTTCTACTCATTATGGTTTCTGTTTTCCTGCTTTTTGCGCACCTGTTTGGTCATTTTTTATTGGTTGCTAAATAAACATTGTTATTTTTACCTTGTTGGGTGCCAGATATTTTACATTCCTTTAGATACTCTTGAGCTTTGTTTTGGGACATAGACAGGTTACTTGGTGACAGTTTGTTTCTTTTTCTTTTTCTTTCAGTAATAATTTTCGTGTGTTTTTGGTGAAGGTTTTACACAGTAGTTTGGGTTCCCATTCCACGATTTGCGCACAAGTTGTTCGGTGTCATTGGTTACATTCTTCACAACGCCTGGACGTTCTCATTTCCATTCTGGCTGTTGGTTGACAGTTTTGTTTCTTTCAAAGCTTGCTTTAAGCTTTGTAAGATAAAATCAGAACAGCTTTTGGTCTTGGGCTGATGATTTGCCACTTCTGAGGCAA